GTTCACTGTCTGTATTTTAATTCATGAAGAGCTTAAAAATGTAATAAGATATAAAATAGATATAGTTGGGAAATGTCCTTCGTTGATTAAATTATAATTTCATTGCATGCAGCATTCAACCCTCACCGCTTTGTGTTACCTCGTGCTATTCGCACCATTTGGAATAGATTGTAACTAATCGGTTACTCTCTCGGATTCAGCACATCGTGATTTATGGTAACTAAAAAGACACGGGTGGGAATGATTTACTGTTTAGTGATATCCGCCTTCCAAAGAGCCTAATGTGGTTTTCCATGTCATTTCTCTTCCATACAATGTTGTACACAAATAATTAAATTAATTATACATACAATATCGATTACATAATATAAAATTGAATACTTTTTTAAAATTATGATAATTTTAAATACTCAATTAAAAATTTTACTTTTAAGCCTTTTTTTTTCTGTCTGGTATTTGGTATTGAATATGTGTAAAATAATTTTACGATTCAGTAATTTTTCTGGATACTGGATAGCAATACAAAATAATATCGAAAAATATTGGTTTATTTTTATTTTACTTCACGTGTGGTGTAATTGATTTTTTATACTAAATCTGATCATCATAAATCTATGTATAAAAGTATTATGTGTTTATTGAAATAATCATAGTTTGAATCGATTATAACGTATAAGTGTTATAAAATGTCACAGTTAGACCTGCATTCTTTGGGTGTGGCAGGATATTCCAGTAATGTTTTTGGCCAAAGAATAATTAGCAAAATTACCTAGTTGTATTTCGTAAATTTTAGTTGTTTACAAAAAGCAATTAAGGTATATCATGAAACATTTGATTGCCTTTTTTTCACCTACGTATTGACCCTCTTTTTTTCTCTGTTGTTTTGTATTATATCATCTGCAATTTTATAAAGAAGGGTGCCAATAAAAGGAGTGATGTTAATAAGACATGGTTTATTGTCTTGAATTTAACAGTAATAATAATACAACTATAATAATAGTCTTAAATATTTTTAACTATTTACCAGAATATCAAAATAGTTTAAAATATTTCGAATACATATTATTTCATGTTTCATGTTATTGAACTAAGATTTAAAGCTGAAACCTAATTGCGATACTAGAACGCGTTTTATAGATACTTTTGATTATAATTTTGAGCAAATGTGGTAAAAGTTTTGAAGGTATATTTCAAAATAAATGGATTTGAGAAGATAACAAAATGAATGAAAGGTATTCTTATGCGAGTAATTGGAAAGTGCTTTAATTAAGCTATGAGAAAATAGTTAGGTTATAAAATGTAGTAATGTAGTTTAAATTAATGGAAGCAGGGGTTGTATTTTATCGTGTAAAAATGTAAGGATAGTGAAATTTTTTTTACAGCACACCATTTTGAACCGAATCTTGCTAATTGGAGTAAAACTGTTACACTCAGTTTTTAAAGCTTTTAAAAAATTTGGCGAAGAAATTACTTTTTTACGATTATTCCCCGTTGGCTGTGTATAAAAACGGTTAAGCGAATCCGGTACAATTAAAATCCCTCTTGGTACTCATTGTACGGGTTGCAATTAAAAGCGCAAATGAATTAAGCAAAAAAAAAAAAAAAACATAAAAATCGAACAGGAGACACGGACTCTGATGGAGGTAAAAAGGGAGGAAAATGGAGAATTTCTGCAAAGCAGATGTTTTTAATATTTCATAAGTAGCTTTTCTACCAACCAACGTAGCCTGGCGGATGAAGACTTAATTAACGTGAATTCAAGAAAAGTGATTTCCTCTACTAAAAATAAACTGACTGGAAAGTTCATTTTTATCATTTTATTTTGGAATCCTATACAATGTTTCCATGACAACTAGAGTTTTAATAATTCACATTAATTATTTGATAATTATTTTCTTAAACGGTGTAGAGGCAAACTATAGTTTTTTATTTGATACTTTTACTACAAATATAATTTTATAATTTATTTTTACTTATTTGTAAATTTAACAAATAACCCAAAAATAATAAATTGTTTTATGTATAATAGTTCTTATGGACTAGAAGCTTATTTTATTATAGTTGTTTGAAAAATGGAAACATTCTTTTTTTCGTGTTAATCACATTAGTGCAATTATTTATTTGGCAATTACATGATGTCATAATTACTCATCAGTTTTTTTAGTTAATATTATATTTTCACACTCAAAATATAAACTGTATAAAATGATTTATAGTAACTGTTTTGTAAAAATTCCATACAGTTTAAAATATTTCGAGATGTGTTCATAGTTGAATTATTTTACGGTATATAATTAATACTTTCATTGTATTCAAATTACCCGTATCATTTTTTTTAGTAGATCCCTGTCTATTAATTTCGTGGTTCTTTGTTTTTCTATTTTAATCGAAAAATACTTATAGTCTTACATATTTTTTTTATTTTTTTTTTTTTAAAATATTCATTAAGTTTTTAATAGAATATTTTTTCCTATTGTTAAAGAGGGCAAGTCTAGGAAGTCACATTTTCCGAGAATCTGTCATGGACAGGGGATATTTTTTCGTTTGTAGAAACGTTTTTCAATTTTTTCGTTAGCTTTTGCATTAAAAGTGAACATAGAAGGGGAAATGACACAAAGTATAAATGCAGTGACGGAAATATGAGACAAAAATATAATCATAATGCCTCTTCTTCTGCGTGAGATGCGTCAACCGCAGGAGAGCGGCGAAAACGTTGTTGTATTCGAATAGATTGAATTTCGGGAAAGAAATAGCGCGATTGAAGAAAAATTCATATTTGTATATTTGTTCTTTTTATATTATATTTTTTTCAGGTGCATATACTGTATGTATACAATACATGTATAGTTATATAACGATGGTTTTATTTTTATATTCCCTTTTAAAATTTAAATCCTTAAAAATCGCTTATGCGCTTTAAGTTTTAAATGGAAATGAGTCTTAAAATAATGGGTTACTGTATATAAGCCTGTAAAATATTTAAAATAAATATTAAGAATAAATAATAATACATTAATCAGTGTATATTATGCTGTGTTTTAGTTTTAGGAATTATACCTTATTATACAATCGTGTAAAATGTTTCACTTATATATGTTTCACAAATATATGCCAGTAAGAATTTAGTTTTATAAAAAATACATTTTAGGATTCAATGATAAATTTATGTTATACCATTGTAATAGAAAAATACACTAGAGCAGGAAAAATAAATTCCTCGCACTAATTTATAATTGGGATTAAATTAGGATAAAATAATTCGTGAAACGTGGCACACATTTTCTGTTATTCGTTTAAAACAGTACGAAATAAAGTGTCCATATCTGTTAAATGGTAGATTATTTGAAATATTTTAAACAGTTATTCAATAATTAAGAATTAATGTAAACATATTTAGACACCGCTACAATAACCAGTTAAGTTTTGATTTTTCTAAAACTCGTTTTTAATACGTAAATGTTCAGAAAAATAATTCTTTACCGATTGGCGTAACAATCAGATACGACCAATCATTATTATAGGATTATTTTAGTTATAAAACAACCATTTTATATTGTATTTCGGTTGCAATAACCAGATATTTCCGGACGTTAAACTAGTTATTGTTCCTAACAATTTTATTAGGTATTATTTATGTAAATCTGTGTGTTTTAGTCATATTAACTTAGTTAATTATTGTTATTATAGTTATATTGGCTTACGTCACTGACGATAATATTAATTCTAATGATTCTCAACCAAACCAAATTGTTTCATTGATAAGTGTTATAGAAGCATACAGGATTGATGATGAAAATTAAAAATTTAAATTCCTATATTGGCTTATATTATTAAGGGTTGTAATATTATCGGCATTATTTTATTAGATATTTTTAATTTATTAGGTAGTCTAATGATTTATTATTTCTGGTTAAAAAAAATATATTTATATATCAAAATGTAATGTTAAAATAATATATTATTATATACTATACATACTTTTAGAAAAAAATATTGTATAATATTATTATAGTATGGAACTAGATTATTTAGTTGCAATAATAGGGTATGTCCAAAATAAAAATTGGACATAACTTGTTGTTGCAACTATTGAAAATGTATTTTTCGATGATTTTTTAGTTTTTATTAATTATTTTCATATTTTAATTAAGTATGATCACTAAGGGAAATTATTTTATTTGGTAAGTCTTATTTTTATACATATAATGACACTTCATGTTTAATGTTCGGTTCGTTTACCAATTTGTAGGAAGTTTTTTTTCTGTCTCCTGAAAAATTTAAGAAAATAAACTTATCTGGTTATTGCACCGATGTCTTCGTATGTTTTTGGCGGTGGTAACGTCAGTTGTGTTGGTTCTGGTGGTGGTGATATTGATGTGGAGAATCAGTCTTATTGTAATACGTTTACAAATAATAATATATGAATATTTTCTTATCGATTAATTATTGTAGGATTTGTATAATAATTAAGTGTTGTTGATTATAATTATATGTAAAAGAAATAATAATATAATTTTCTTGAGAAATTTGGTTTTATTTAAATTTTACTTGTAGTTATTTTAATTTGTATATATACTATATACTCGTATTACACCAATACCTATTTAGGTAACCTAAATTTGGTGTCATTATTTGTACTGTTTTAAAAAGCAAATATATTTACTTAAATATTATATAATCATATTATGCTTTATAACATATTGATAAATTATGCTAATAACATAATTATTAATTACTTTTATACATTTATTCATTTTTCTAAAAAAAAAAAAAATTAAAAAAAAAAAATCGTTAATAAGAAATGATTATTGGTTTATTAATTATTTAATATATCAAACATTGGATGTGTGGATGTATTTATTTTTAATAATTCTTTTTAGAGATCTATATAATCTGAAATGCATATGCTATTGATTTAAACGAAAGTCTTTGTAAATAGAATATAATTTTGCATACATATTTATTCATGGTTTTAATGTTAATGTTTCTTTTTGTTTCAGGTAAACGTACTATTTCAATCGGTTTAAGTGCTTAGGGGATATGAGTACGCATCCTTAATACGTGAGTACATTATTTTATCGGCCAACGTTAATGTTTGCAATCGTATTTTCCCCTTCACTGAAAAAAAAAAAAATCGATTTATTTGTATTTTTTTTATTTTTACTGGGATTTTTGTCACCGAGACGATAAACAGTAGCACAAGCTAGTGAATACATTATGTCTTGATAAATGTATTCGGTTACCGCGGGATAAAATATGACTATAATATTGAGATCGGTCTTTTGAATTAATTTTTCATCCGTCCAAATCAAAGCAAAAACACTTTTTATCTCTTCATTTTTATTAACATTTTCAACTATTCCAGATCACCTAAATTTCATAATTTTCTATTTTACACCATTATCCATAAAATATATATGTTTATTGCATATTTGATTAATTTCAGTTATTTTTGAAAGCCAAGACTTTAACAATTGTTTTATAGTTTTAAAATTATTTGGATTTATCATTTTACGTATTAACTATTTATATGGTTTATGACTAAATTATTTAATGTTTTATTATAAAAATTGTAATATAATATTTAATAATATTAAATATTATTTAATATTATTTAATTATATTTAATATTATATTTAATATTTTTGTAATATAATATATTATAATATTTATAATAATTCATAATTATTATTATTATTTGTAGTTTCCATGTGATTGTATTTTTGTATTAACACATTACCGATGGGACTGTACAAATTAGATGCTTCTGACACGTTGACTTTTACATACTACACTCTGTCAATACGAACAATTTTTAACTTTAAGAAACTCTAAAGGAATGTTTTTGATATATATTTAATCGGAAATCTTACACGGAATTCTAATTTATATGTATAAAAAAAAATCTATTTTCATTTAAATGTTTATTTTAATAAAATAAAACATAATGTAATGTATGATCTTAAGTACAATTAGAAAATATAAATTTTATTTTAAATATGTTGATAAAAATACGAATTCACTTGTGATGAATTTTTATTTTATTATTTCTAGTTTTAAAAGTTCAGTTCCGGTTCGCACTGCACACGATGCACACGTCTTTATTTTAACTTAAAATTTAAAATTAAAATTAAGTTAAAATTCATTGTTATTCTTGTTCTTCGCAAACGTTTCGGTTCAAATTAAACGTTAAACTCTATTCAAATTAGTAACTTAATTTGAACTTGTAAGTACGCCGTTTCCGTAGTGCTTACAAAATGTAGTGTTTTTTTTTTTTTTTTACTTATGTTAATAAACTATCTAGTAAGTTATCTAACAGTCGCCACTCGTCGCGTGATCCGTAGATAACGCGTTTCGTTATCGCGGTATTTCGTGCGTTGTCCAGCAGTCCGTGACCTTTGCTCATGTAAGATATGCCGTTTACTTCAAATATAAATCGTGTACAAATGAAAACAACCCAATCTAATACGGATAAAGGTAAAAATAAAAACAGCACTATACAGCCTGCTTATTTAACAAATCCGACTAATTCTAACATAAGTCCCATAATTAGTTCTGAACGCAGTTCTTATGGTGGTAATGTGAACAACCCTGCAGATGACGAATGGATTACGTATAAATCCCCAAAGAATTCCAAAAGGATTCTTTCAAGTTCTTCATCTGATGCTTCTTATACGAAAACCCCTCCTACGTTGAACAAAAAACTATTTACTACACGCAACCGTTTTGAAACGCTAAATCAAAATTAAAATGATATACCAGACATAGATCTTGGTACAATCTCTGATACAGAAGTAACAAATGATGCTATCTACTTCAAACCTAATCCCCCGATATTCATGAAAGGTATCTCAGACTTTCCAAACTTCTGCTCAACTCTTATAGAGCTAATTGGTGTCGACTGTTTATTTTGCAAATTGGCCGGCGACCACCTAAAAATTCAAACTTCAAATCCGGAATCTTATAGAGTACTAATTCGCTATCTAAAAGAAAGCAATGCAGTATGGTTTCGACCATCATCGCGGGAGCACGTGCTTTATCGCTCTTCGTAGTCCGTATTGGCAACGTTTAATGACCGTAGTCTGATCGTTATTACGCAACACATATTTAATGTGTGTGTAACGGAGCGAACCGTTTCTCATCTATTAATATGGCATCGCTTCAATCACCACCGGCAACGAATTCTAAACGACACTTGTCTTCGCATTCCAGCTCTCCCAATCATGAGAAAAAAACTAAATCTTTCACCTCGCCGAATCGATTCGCTGTTTTATCAACGGCCAACGATGATCTGGTATCGGACGCATTTACATCTATCTCCAATGCTACAGAGCGCGAGCAACTACCACCAAGTCAAAACGTACTGAAGTCCATTCATATGCCGGCGATTTTCGTAAAGAATATCAGAAACTTTTCTGAGTTTCATAAAAAATTAACACACCTCACGGATATTAATGATTTTTCTTGTAAGTCCACACCATCTCATTTAATAATTCGGGCCAACAGTCACCCTGCTTTCGCCATCATTTCGAAGTATCTAATAAGCACTAGCGCGGAATTTCATACCTTCCGTCCCCATTACATGCGCCACTTAAAGGTATTAATTCGCAATCTACATCATACCACTATTCTATCCGATATCTCAGATGCCTTGGTGGAGCATGGACACTTTGTGGTACGCGTGGTGAATATAAGAAAGAACCAACGTCCGTTACCTCTTTTCCACGTCGAATTGACACTTAAGAATAATAACCACGATATCTTCAACATATCAACATTGTTCCATTCCACTGTAGTCATCGAAAAACCACACTCTAAAATGAATGACCCACCTCAGTGTTTTAAATGTCAAGCATATGGTCATACCCGCAATTACTGTTGTCATTCCCTTAGATGCGTCAAATGTGGTGACGACTATCTCACAGCGAACTGTACCAAAGACCGGTGACTTCCGGCTAAATGCGCTCTGTGTTCTAGTTCTAGTGATCACACAGCCTCATACAAAGGATGCCCAATTCGCAAGAAATTGGTACTATCAAATAAAAAAAAAAAAAAACATAAATGCCAGAACTTCAAAGGCAAGAAGCTCATACTCTTCATCATGGCAACAACACCAAAGTGAGTCCAACGTATGCCAACATATCGTCAGAGCAACCAACTCACACTATTTCTGATACTATTTCTACATTTCTGACTGAAATTAAAATCTTATTAAACCCTCTACTTTTCCTTCTCACCGTCCTAATAAACAAACAACAAAATCCCCATAAGTTATCACAACCAATTACCAACAACTGCATTCAACCTATTTATGTAATTTATACGCCCTGATCTTTATTACTAATATTAATTAATTACTAATATACCTTACTAATATTATTATATTTTTGGTATTTTCTTTTTATTCTGTATACCCAATATTATGATACAATATCTTATTTTTAATAATTTAATTACGTTGTATATAATATAATATAGGCGAAGACTCTTGGAGAGTCATAAAGCTTGTATATCAATATATATATATATATCATATATTTGATACTAAAAGCTAAAAAAAAAAAAAGCAATACTGAATACCATACCTATCAATTACGTGAAGATAAACCTACATGTGTTGTCATTCATCATATTAATCCATCTACATCTACAGATCTTATAAAAACTGAGCTTAAAGCCCGTCTCCTTGAAGTAAGGTTGGTTATAAACGTTCTTCACAAGGCCACCAAAAGTCCACTTCCGTTGTTCTTTGTTGATTTGGAACCAACTGCTTACTCAAATGGTATATACCAGCTCTCCTCTTTCCTACATACTAAAATAAAAGTAGAAAATCCCAAGAGCCCTACAAACCCAAAGTGATCATTTAATGCATTAATTGCCAGGAGTATGGTCATACTAAAGCATACTGTGGTTATCACTCACGTTGTGTCAGATGTGGTACTCAACATCAGTATTTTACATGTCCAAATTCACGCTAAGATCCACCAAAATGGGCACTCTATTCTGGGGATTACCTAGCAAGCTAGATGCTCAGTATACAAAGATCGTCAACGTGGCAGAAAACAAAATACTAAAAGTAATTTCTTATCTGATCATATTTGGAATAAGACTACAAATGTAAGAGACAGCCACTCCATAACAAACTCATTCAAACCAACGCCCAAATAACTTTCCCCCTTATGTTCAAGACACTTCTGACCAATCAGACAATACACCTCCCCCCTCTCATCCCAACACAAGATCTAAGTAATACAATTACAAATTTTCTTTAGGAGTTTAAGTCCCTTATTAATCCTCTCATCTCCCTCCTCAATAAAGTAATCACTAAGCTATTTGATAAAATTTCAATGTCTAGTAATATTACAAATAAATCTCTGTTAATCCTCCAATTTAATGCTAATGGCCTAATAAACCATATTAATGAACTCGAAAATGCATTTCACGAATAGATATTGCTATTTTAACAGAGACCTATTTTACCAAATATTCTTCCATCTTTATCCCAGATTATATATTATTAAAAACAAATTATCCAGACAACACAGCGCATGGTGGAGTTGCTATTTTAATTAAATCGTCAATAATCTATCAATCTCTTTCAAATTTCTGCCAACCTTATTTGCAATCCTGTACTATAAATATTAATTTAAATAACGTCCCTATCACCATTGCGATCTTATACTTTCCTCCTAAACACAATATAACAAACCAAATCCTTACAGACTACTTTAACACAATAAAACACATTTTTATAATCGGAGTTGACTATAATGCAAAACTTGTCTTAGGGCTGTCGTACAAATAATTCACGTTGACTAATTCTCCAAAAATTTAATTTAATCAAATATCTCCTCCTCCTGGCCCTACATACTGGCCAACCTCACAACATAAAAATCATGATATCTTAGATATTTTTGTTGCTAAAATTCCTAATAACCTTTACTGTAAAACAGAAAATTTCCTCGAACCTAATTCCAATCACTCCTCAGTTATGTTAACAGTAAGTGCTTTCCCACTAACACACGAGGAGTATCCTAAATTATTCAATTCATTTAGTGACAAGTATAAATTCCATGATTTTGTTGATCAACAAATTCGTCTAAATGTAAAACTTAAAACACCTCATGACATTGATTTTGCCGTAAATAATCTTACGAAACTTATATAGTCTACGGTTTTGTCTTCAACAAGAAAACTTCAACCTTCACCTCATCACCCTCTAATTCTAGAATATATACGCAGTATTATGGTAGAAAGACGTAGAGCTAGAGTTCTGTATTAACGAACGCGTCATCCGTCTGATAAACAAAAATATAATAAATTAGCCAACCATCTCAAAAAAGTGTTGGCGAAATATAAATCTGAGTCACATGCTAATTTTCTTTCTAATCTCTCTACTAATGATGGTTGTCTTTGGAGAGAGACCAGAAAAATTCGTAAATTTAAATCTGCTAACTTACCAATTAAAAATTCAGATGGCAGCTATGTAATATCTGACCCCGACTAAGCTGAACTTTTTAAACGCATCTTTCTGATGTTTTCCAACCTCACCCAGACATTCTCACATACCACTATTAATACTGTTAATGATTATCTAAATTCTTCATCACGTTCTTCGACTGGTCCTGTTAAACACTTCACACCAAATGATATTAAATTTGCCATAAATCAATGCTCCTTTAAGAAATCCTCAGGACCTCATAACAGCTGAAGTAGCTAGATGTCTACCTAAAAAAGCAATTGTTTATCTATCCCATATTTTTAACTCTGTTTTACGACACTCTTACTTCCCAATTTTAGGGAAATTTTCTACTATTATTTTGGTCCCCAAACCTAATAA